GTGGCTATTCTGCCTTAGTGTGTGATTTTATTATATTCTTTGAGAAGAAAGTGAGTGAATTCAAAGTAAAAGAAATATTTTTCTTTTACGCTTTCATTTGATTCATTTGAGTTTTGCAAACAAAAATTTTGAGCTCTGATAAAAATCTCTTTTTTTTTTGTTTTCTCTCTTTTTCTCTGTTATTTTTTTTACTGTTTGGAGTTTGTGTTGCTAGTGATCTCTCGTTACAGTGTCAACCTAACAGAGAAGTTTTGCACAAATTGGTTGATAAATTTTTATATTCAGGATTTTTTTTTTTTTTTTTTTTTTAGTGATTTGTGTGTCTGTTCTCCATAATCAACAACTGTCTTTTTGACAGGACATGGAGTGTTTATATACACCTTGTCGGGCGAAATCAGGCCCGGATTCTGAAAGATTCGTTTCTTGTTGGCTCTGCGAGCGCTTCGGTCATGCAAAGTGTGCCGGTATTCTCGGCCGTGCTGCTGACGCAGTCGCTGATCCTTCTAAAGGCTTAAGATGGTCATGTCCTGACTGTAGGCAGCGGGACATTGACTTTTATAAATTTTTCAAGGAGACCCGTTATGGTTTCTCGGAATTGAGTAGAAATCTCGGCTCCTTGTGGGAAAAGTTTGAGCTCATTAAGTCTAGGTTTGATGAGTGTCGCTTTATTGGACATTCATCTTCTACTCGTAGCGTAGCGTGTGGGACGTCACCTCTGGCTTTCTCCAAATCTAATTCGTTGGTACAAGTTACCGCTCCTTCTAATTCTAAAATGAATAGTAATGTTTCCGATATTGCTGAGTCGGTTGGTAGCAAAACAGTTACAAACAAACCGGCAAGTCCATCGGTTTTAAGCTACGCTGAAGTGGCAAGGGTATCTCCGCCCAGAGCCGCCACTCACTCTAATCAAGTGCCATCGCCTAAAAGTAATGAAGAGAAAAATAAGTCATCCTCTCCTTCTGCCTGTTCGCGTGTGAATGCTGGTCACCAGACTGGGCAAGTCTCACAAGCTGCCGGTACAAGGGCGATAACCCCATCTATATTTTCCCCAACTCGAAACTCTCCTACTGTGAACCCCCCTCCTGTTCCAAATAATGACATTTGCTTGACGGCAGTTCCTCCCAGAAAAGCAATATTTGTGTCAAGACTGGCACCTGAAACATCGGTGGATAACATAAAAGGTTATCTGGCGACGAAAGTCCCATCAGTCAACTTAAAGCGTGTTAGCATCTTCAAAATGGCTCCTTCTCAAGCTAGGGCAATCTCCTCTTTTAAAATATTAGTTCCGACTGAAAACAGTGATATGTTGTTAAACAAATCACTGTGGCCGGTAGGATCCTTAATTAAGGAATTTATCCCTCGTGATCGTCCCCGTAATACCAAGGCAATAGTCTTGTCGCCTTCAAAAAACTAATTGTTTCTTCAGGCCCACTATCTCTCATTTATCAAAATGTTAGGGGCCTAAATTCGAAAATTCGTTCCACTTTTCTAAATTCAGTGAGCACGGAATTTTTCTGTTTGGCCTTTACTGAAACCTGGCTAAAACCCGATCTACATTCGTCGGAACTTTTTCATAATTCTTTCCAAGTGTTTAGAAATGATCGAGTAAATCGCATTGGTGGTGGTGTATTAATTGCCATATCTGCGTCAGTCCCGTCCAATCAATTTAATTGAATTTCCCACTTCTCCTGACGTTGAATTTATCGCTATTCGTGCGAATATGCCTGATAAACATCTATTCATAACCTGCTCCTATATTCCCCCAAATTCTGATATCTCCATTTACGGGAAACACGCTGCCCTCATTTGTGAAGTGGCCAAGCGGTCTAGACCCACCGATTTGGTCGTTGCATTGGGTGACTTCAATTTGCCTCAAGTCACTTGGTGTAACACTGATAATTCTGGCTGCTTGGTTCCTACTTCAACGTCTGATAGGGCTGTTGTGTTCTTTAATGAATTGTTTGATCACAATTTGGTTCAATATAATCGTACCCCTAATTGTAATGGTAGACTGCTTGATCTCTGCTTTGCCAATTTTCCCGAGATTAACGTAAATCGTTGTCCACCTTTTAGTTTACCTGAGGATCCTTATCATCCATCAATATGCATTTCCTTTCATCATATTAATGATGGTTTGTTGGAATGCCTTAATGTGCCAACTCAAACTTGTTTAAATAATTATTATGATTTTCATAAAATCAATATTGTATTACTAAAACATCGTCTTTCACATCTGACGCTTGATTTCTCAACCGGTAGTATTGAAAACTTAATGCCATCGTTCTACAATACATTAAATCTAGCTATTGCTGCATCTGTTCCGATCAAGCATTGTCGACCTCGAAGCAGATGTCCCCCGTGGTTTAATAAGACAATTAAATATCACAAGAATAGAAAAAACTCGCTATTCAAAAAATATTCGAAAAGTGGCTCTGCGCTCGACTATGTCGCTTACTCGGTGGCGAGGCATAGATTTAACTCCCTCAACCATCATTATTACTGCAGATACCTTCAGTTCATTAAATCCTCTCTGTTTGCTAATCCTAAATTCTTCTTTAAATTTGTTAACTCTAAAAGAAAAATTTCCACATATCCCTCTCATGTTTCTTTTAATGGCTCTGGTTCCTCGGATGATTTTGAAATCTCAAATCTATTTGCTGAGTATTTCCGACGAAACTTTTCGATTGCTAATTTTGAGTTATCAGCAAACTACCCATATCCTATAACTAACTCGGTTTCAATACCTAACTTGGTTATTTCGGAAGATGATGTTTTCAGAGGGTTAAGTTCTCTAAAATACAGTTGTTCGCCTGGACCTGATGGAATTCCATCATGTGTACTTAAATCTTGCGCTGTCGAGTTGTGTGGTGTGATCTCAAAGATTTTTAACATGTCCTTGTGTTCAGGTGTTTTCCCTTCATGTTGGAAGAGTAGTATCCTTATTCCTATCCACAAGAGTGGAAGTAGACAATTTGTTGAGAACTACAGAGGCATAGCCAAGTTGAGTGTCTTGCCCAAGTTGTTCGAGCGTATTGTGACTCAGCATTTAGCCTTTGCCATTAATTCGTATATTTCTCCGCACCAGCACGGCTTTCGGAAAGGGCGATCTACAGTCACCAACTTGTTAGAGTTTACCTGTCATGTTTTCAAGGCTTTTTCTAGTGGCTCTCGCACAGATGTTATTTACACTGATTTAAGCAAAGCATTTGATTTGGTTAACCATAGACTACTTATCTTTAAACTCCAAGCCTCTGGTTTCCCACCCTACTTAGTGAAATGGATAAGCTCTTATCTGCACAATAGATCCTTCAGAGTTTTGTTTAACTTCATTAGCTCGGATGAATTCCCCGTTACGTCTGGCGTACCTCAAGGAAGTCACTTAGGTCCCATTTTATTTAGTTTATACATTAACGATCTCCCATCGGTGGTTAATTCCAGCCAGATCTTAATGTATGCTGATGATGTGAAACTGTTTTCTTCCTTCTCTGTTGAATCGCAATCACATCAGCTTCAAGGTGATTTAGATCATTTTGTTGCATGGTGCTCTTTGAATCTCCTGCAACTAAATCTGAGTAAATGTAAGAAGCTTTCATTCTCAAGAAGAAAGTCATTCATTACTCAGTATTTCATAGATTCGCATAAGTTGGAGGACGTCGATTCGATTACGGATTTAGGCGTCCTATTTGACCATAGGTTACGTTTTAACTTGCATATTGAGCTCTCGATTAGCAAAGCTAGGTCCGCGCTTGGTTTTATAAAAAGGTGGTCCAAAGAGCTTGATGATCCCTACATTACGAAAAGGCTGTACATGTGTTTGGTTAGACCCATACTCGAGTATGCCTCAGTTGTGTGGTCTCCTTCATATAGGTGCTACGTAGATTCAATTGAATCAGTTCAAAAGCAATTCTTGCTGTTTGCCCTTAGAAATTTGGGTTGGGATCCGATTGGCTCTCTTCCTCCGTATGAAAATAGGTTGCTTCTGCTGTCCCTACCGTCTCTTGAGAAACGTAGATTTGTTCTTGGCGTTTCCTTTCTAATTAAAGTAATAAATGGTGCTATTGACTCGCCTTCATTACTTGGTGAAGTAAGCTTCAATGTCCCTAACCGCTTCTCTAGGCACTTTATCTTGGTAAAGCTTAATCAGTGTAAATTTAATTATGAGCTGTTCAATCCGCTCAGAGTCGTTTGCAAGAACCTAAATGACGTCTACCACTTATTCTCGTTATCGGACTCTTTAAAGTCCATTAAAGCAACATTGCTTAATACGCGCGATTTACCTATGTCGTATTTAAACTAGCTTTCATCCTTAAAAAGTCGTTACGTTTCGAAAGTGAATTATTGTTAATTTATTATCGGTTGCCAGGCTTATGCATGTTTGCGATGGCTTAGGGGTTCATTTGCAATTTGGTCCTGTACCGGTTGTAAGTGTGCTCCTATGCTGATAGTGTACATGCTTTTTTTTTCTTTTTCTTTTTTTTTTT